CCCCAAAACCCCAAAACCCCAAAACCCCAAAACCCCTTATCATAAATTATTTATTGAAAAATACCATGGACCAGCATGAGCACTATGGCGTCAATGAGATCGTAGACGCTCAGAAGCAATATGGGGACTACGAAGAAGCTCTCCAAAAAGCTATGGAGATGTCCCTAACCGAGGTACCAAACTCTAATGAAGGTGCTGGAGATGATCCCTTGCTTTATGAAATTTATGATCTCCCACCTGAAATGGATGGTAATAGAGCCGATGACAGAGCTCGACAGCCGAGAGAAGAGATCCAGCAATCTGACAGAAGGAACCAGGTAGAAGAAATCAATATTGGAGATTATGACTATGATGGAATTTATGAAGAGGCATCTGAACAATCAGAGAGGCAAGCTAGAGAACGGAATCGAGAGAGAAATCAAAGGCAAAATATTAGAGTCATAGGCCATGACTTTGATCAATACCACCCTGATGAAAGACATAATGATTTGCTAGCAGAGCTTCCGGATCATAGAATTAGAGAGAGGCTTAATGATCCTCGTATTGGGTTTGGAATTGAAAGAATTCCAAGGTATCCAGATTACCGAAGAGAGAGAAGTCCTTATCGACCAAGAGAGATTCAAAGAAGGCCTTATATGGCAAGAGATCTCAACCCAATGGACTTTGAACAAGTTAATAGAAGAAGTCCTGAAAACCAAAATTTGGAGGTTGATGCTGATAACATGAATTATGAGCAACTCCTAGAGTTAGAGAACAACATTGGCAGCGTTAGTAAGGGATATAGACAAGAGGAAATAGAGGCTATCCCTATCACTTACTCCTTTCTTAATTCTACAAGTAACTGCCCTATTTGTCTCGATGATATTGAGGATGGGACACCCATCCTCAGTATTGCCTGCAGACATGAGTTTCACATGGAATGTCTTAAGAAGTCATTAGAGGATAACAAAGGCTGTCCTGTATGTAAAGCTGATGCTTTTCAGTTAGTCTAAGCCTTCAGAGAAGGTGAAATAGCTAAACAAGTTTCAATTTCTCTTATGAATTAAGGGGTTTTGGGGTTTTGGGGTTTTGGGGTTTTGGGG